TTCATCCATTTACTACTTGCCCACATTCATAGTTACTAAATAGCAGTGCTGCTAATTCCAGAGCCCATGATTTTAACTACTACTATAGTGCCTGCACTGAAGTGATTTGACCTAGAAAATCAATAGCTTGTAAGTAGTTGAGTCATTTCTAGCAGACTGCAACTTAAGCCTCCTAACTCCTAGCTCACTGCTTTTTCCTGAACATATTCATCAATGGCTCTTAGCTCTACAAGAATTCAACCCCTGCTGTACATTGTCACTTCTACAATATAATTCCTATAAACAGCATGGGGAAAGCTGCCCCTCCATCCTTACCAGAGGAGTTGTAGCTTGCACATCCATATACAGAGGTCGCAGCACTGACTCCATCTCTGGAGCAGTGGCTGTATCTGAGGGAACAGCAGACTGGGGAGCATGGTCTGCAACTGCCAAAAATATGGAACAGAGTGGCCAAGTGACTATGGACACAGGGTATCCAAGACATCAGAAGGTAAAGCCGGGATGGAGGTGAGTTAAGTTTAAGGAATACTGGGGTTTCCTTTTTCCTTAATGAAAAAGGAAAGAAAACATCAGGATTTGAGCAAACTGTAAAAGGAGATAAGGGACAAAGGCAGGGCTCTTGGAGGGGGATGTTGGGACATTATTAAAGTTGCATCGTTGGGAGTTGGGAAGGCTCTGAAATGGCAAAGCCATTTAGAAGGGATGGGGCGACATAAGCTCTCCTTTGAAGGTCACCTGCTGGACCACTAGCATCTCTAAAAGTTGGTTAGAAGAATGAAGGCCGAGTCTCAGGCTCGGAAGGCCAGTGGGATAAGATCTGAGTGGGTCGCGGCGAAGGCACTAAGAAAGCCAGCTTGAGAAAACTGGAGGGATGAAGCCCAGGGGAAGGGTCAGAGGGTCTGGGTAGGGGCGGCAGAAGGAGGCTACGGAATATTCACAGGTGCGTCGCAGCGAGGAGGAGAAAGAAGGCGCGCGACCTGGGAGGGAAGCAGCAAGCGGGACCCGGAGCGTACCGCGCAGGCGCAGACCCCGAGTGGGCGCCTCGAGACTCGGCCCCTGAGCTGCTGGCAGGGCCGCAGCCACCCGCCTCCAAGCAGTCCGCAGCAACATGGTCCCGGAGGCACAGTCCCTCGCCCCGAGCGGCTGCAGTACTTAGCTACGAACTCCCGGAAGTACTGTTCAGTGCCCCGGAAGCGATTCCTCGGGCCACTAGCGTGCTCCGCCTTGCGTTCCGTGTGAGACGTAGACTGAGCGACCGAGGCCGCGAGCGAGGTGAGGTGGGGGCTCGAGGGTCGGAACACTAAGAGGGTGATGGAATCGGGTTGCACGCGGATTTTCCTTCTCGACCTTCCTCGAGCCCTACGTCCGCTCCCCAACCCCTTTTCCTCTGACCCCGCCCGACTCTCGGGCAGGCGGCCAGGCCTGCATTTCCTTGATCCTCGAACCCCACAGATGCCGGTGGCCGTGGGTCCCTATGGACAGTCCCAGCCAAGCTGCTTCGACCGTGTGAAGATGGGCTTTGTGATGGGTTGCGCCGTAGGCATGGCGGCCGGGGCGCTCTTCGGCACGTTTTCCTGCCTCAGGTGAGGGGCGCGGGTGGTGACCTGGGGTGGGACTACCGGACCTCCCCGCCCACTCCACTTGGCCTGCCGCCAGAATGGAGCAATCTCGCTGACCTCTGAGCTAGACCAGTTTCCTAACCACCTTCCGTCTAGAAGGACAGGTTGGAATCCCTCCTCTCCAGCGCTTTCTACTCTGTAACCTTAGGCAAGTTGAGCCTGGGTTTCCTCAAGTGTAGAATGAGGTCAGTAACACCTACCTCATAGAGTTGTAAGGCTCAAGTCAGAGAACACTGAGCACAGAATATAGCACATATTAAGTGCTCAGTAAATAGTTACGACCGTCGTTGCTGTTATTTCCAATTGCACATCGTGAAACTTGTTGAGCAGCAACAGGATGTAGAAATGAAGCAGATAAATTCTACACCTTAAATGTCATTTTCACATATGTGACTATTTTCATATAAATGACTATTCTCATTTTTTCAGACTGAAAGTTACTACTTACTGTGCACTTTCTGTGTCAATCACTGTGCTAGATGCTGTTACCACAATTCTTTTATACTTGACATAGTCCATAAAATGACTCCACAGTCACTTTTTAAAAAATATATATATATTTTATTCGATTTTTACAGAGGGGAGGGAAGAGGAATAGAGAGTTAGAAACATCGATCAGCTGCCTCCTGCCCACCCCCTACTGGGGATGTGCTGCCCGCAATCAAGGTACATGCCCTTGACCGGAGACCCTTGAGTCGCAGGCCGAGGCTCTATCCAGAGCCAAACCGGTTAGGGCTCCACAATCACTTTTAACACTAGGAAACCATCTAAGACAGCTGTTGTTATTGGGTTATATATACAGATTCTAGAAGTAAAACCAGCAGAAAAAAAATGGTTTCCAGGTACTTGACACTGCATTTGCAGCCTCTCAGAAACTAAAGGCAGTTAGTATCTGATAGATCCTTTTCAACTTGTCATTACTGATCCTGGGTGGGAGGGGCTAATGTCCTATTAGACTTCTGGAGTGCATGAATCATCGTTAGAAGCACATGTTGGAAAAGGGCAGTTAATACTTCTCCATATACAATATTTTTGTTCCCAACTAGCCCCATCTTGGTTTCCTCCTCTCAGGATTGGAATGCGGGGTCGGGAGCTGATGGGCGGCATCGGGAAAACCATGATGCAGAGTGGCGGCACCTTTGGCACATTCATGGCTATCGGGATGGGCATCCGATGCTAATGAGGGCAATGGTTGCCCACATCTACCCTATCCCATCAGTCCCAGCCCATGTACTATAATAAAAACACTTTGAGTAGTCTGTGTTGGAGGCATTGTTTTCTTCTTCTCACTCCAGACTATTATACAGCTTGCTTAAGATTTTCTGAGGTAGGCCGAGTAGGTTTGTCGTTTTCACTATACCTGTATGTTAACTACAAGCTAGAAAATTTTTCCATGGCTGGAACCTTTCATAGATTCTAGTAAACCCTTATTACTCAACCTTTTGATTTTTCATCACCGTTTTAATTTTTTAATGTCTTTATTGTTGAAAGCATTGCATATGCCCCCTATCATTAGTGTTTTAAAGGAAAAAACAAGTTACAGGCAGATTTCATTTCAAGGTCACAATGCAAAAGGGTGTTTTCTTTTTTTTAGTATGTTTAGCAACACCAGCCAGGCAGGAATGTTTTATTTTCACTACTATGTTCATTCAAAAGTTGTCCAGATATACCTGCTGGCTTGATGAGAAAAAGAACCAGTTATGATTCAGTCATGCATCTGAGGTGACAAAGGCGAGAATACAGGAGTATGAGTCTGTTCACTACTGTTAACATCTCAGGGAATTGTGAGGTGAATATTTTCCTGTGGTTTCACTTTTGTTGCTTATTTTCATTTTTTTACTGTACATTTCCTTTTTGTAAACTTACATTTTATGTCTTGGTCTTTAAAGTGTCTAAACAGTACATTATAGACATGTACTGTATATAAGAAAAGTTATGCCCTGGCCGGTGTAGCTCAGATGGAGTGTGCAGGTTCTATTTGTCAGGGCATACACCCATGTTGTGAGTTTGATCACCAGTCCAATGAAGGCAGTCAATTGATGTTTCCCTTCTCTCACATGGATGTTTCTCTCTCCCACCCCCCTCTAAAAATAAAGATTTGTTTAAAGTTTAAAACGGAATCATTTGAGTCTAGAATGAATTGTTTACATTATTTCTAATGAGGAAAAAATGCTTTGGTTTTCTAAGTCTTCCAGAACAAATTAAGTTGGAGAACCGGTTCAGCTGTAATTGCCTTGAAAGTACGTTCCTAGTAAATGGGAATGTTTTCAAGAAACTAGAATTACCTAATATTTTGTGGACATAGGACTCTCAGATTCAGCCAAAATCAGGGTTACTACCACAGTACAAATAGCAGTTAGATTTTCCAGAGATGAGATGACTACCTAAAGGATTTCACTCAAAATGGCAATTTGCATTACTTCTATGTACACTATTCAAGTTGCCAAACTCTTATATATTTGCTTTGAACATCATTTACAACCCAAATTTCATTCTGTGTAGAGCTAAATTTTGCTCCCTTTATTAAACCATGGCCATCTTTGCTGGGATGAGGAAACCTGACAGAACCAGGACTTGATTCACTAATTTAAAAATTATACCTACTTTGGAAAGAAAAAAAACCACACGTTAGCCCCAAGAAACACTGCTGTGTTTTAAAAAAAAAAATCAATCTTAATCTTGAAACTTCAGGTTGAATAACTGAAACAATTTGGACTACTCATCCAAAAGGGTTGGTAGAAAATTGTGATGGCTCCATACTCAAAATTGATTAGGTAACTTGATATCGAAGTAAATATAGTGTAAAGCCTTTGCCTCAATGCTAACAAATCAATGCAGCAGAAACAAAAATGAGGAAAGAATCAGTATTAGATGATTATCATTCCATTAGGATCAACATTACCTATCCAAAGGTTCAACCTATACACAACTTGAAGCAGAGTTCAGAGTATAAATGGTGATGGCTCACTACCAAAGTTTAAGCTCAAAATTCCATAAGGTAAATGCATTAAATTAACTTGGGAAGTCAGTTTGAACTTACTCCATTTTTGTTCAGTATTTACTTTAAATAGTAAAGCATTTTTTCCCCCCACAAGGATGTCCAGACAACACAGGAAACTTAACGCCCAAGTTTAAAGCCTAGATGAATGTTTTGTTTCCTTTTTTGTAAATCAGTTTTGATACATTACCCTAAATAGGTACAATGCCAAGAGAATGATATACAGGAATGCATAGACAACTTGAGGGGAAGAATTTATCCAGACTGCTAATAATTGCTCCAAAGAGGCAAATACCTAATAACTACTAAAAGTCAAAGAAACTAATATCCTATTTTCATGTTTCTATGACTTCAAAACATTTCAAAAATAAAGATTTCTTGTGGCCTTTTTAAGAGAATTTTATTTGAGTGGTTCTTACAAAGATTGTTGCAATATGAAAGTCATTTGTTTGATAGAAATATCAAGCTGTCTTGTCAAACACACTGAAGTAACCCAAAAATATATTTCAGAGCTCACAGAGCTTAAAAAGAGCAAAGATTATATGCAACCAGACAAAACCTATTTCTGCATTTCCCATTTCTTGCTCAGACTGTTTTGCTTACCAGACTCACTAAACATCTTGAGGAAATGCAGGGATCATTTTGTTTGGAATCTTAGACACACTAGAACACATATTTACAGAGAAACTTTTACAGATACATTAATTGAAAAGATACCATTCAGAAATGTAATTTTGAAATCTTTTGCTAATTGATCAGAGCGCAAGATGAGATGTTAATCAAACAGCCCTTTAGCTGTCTTGAATTTCCATTTTTTTTAGCCATATCAACATTAGTGAAAATGTGAAATGTAACTGTTGTGTAAAAAGTTAGGCTTCTGAAATGAAACATTAAAAACATTATATCCCTGTCTGCCTTTTTACATTAAGCACATTTGTTCCCCTAGAGCTATTTCTATATATCCTTAATGTAATTTTCTACATGTACATATAAAAGGCAGAACAAGAGAACAGTTTTGTATACAGTGGGATTTGCTATATAGGGAGAACGAGCACACTGCATTCCTGTTAACATTTTTATTTTTTCACGGTAACAGGAATTGTATACAAATGACAGTAGACCCTTGCCTCTTTATTTTATCTAAATAAAAGATAACTCAAGATGAATTCTCAAAAGAAAAAGAGCTATGTACATAAGAGACTATATCTTCCTTCATCGTCTACTTGGGACCAGTAGTTGTGTTGCTGTCATAGAATCAGGAAAGAGGTTGTGATAAGTTGGAAGAGGTACATACGCTGCTGTTATCATTTTACCTGTTGAAAGAAACAGACATTGATAGTTTAATATCTTCACTTAGATTAATTAGAGCCTTAATAACACTCAGAAAAACATTAAACTCACCAGCAAACCACCTGCCATGCAATGCATTTACAGCAGCAATGGCTGCAGCAATTGATGGGCACTTCACATACACGTTGCCCTAAAATACAATTAAAAATTATCCTAAACAGTGTGCATCTGAACAGGTTTATTTAAGCGGCCTACAGATAGACTCAGTGTTATATAACTATGTAATTGTTTAATCATATGACCCAAGTATCTGTAAAGTTTAAGGCAAAGAGAACAACATTTTTGCTTATTAAAAAGAGCAAATAGCCCTAGATGGTTTGGCTGAGTGGATAGTCAGCCTGCAGACTGAAGAGTCCCAGGTTCGATTCCGGTCAAAGGCACATGCCCGGCTACGGGCTTGATCCCCAGTAGGGGGTGTGCAGGAGGCAGCCAATCTGTGATTCTTTCTCATCACTGATGTTTCTATATCTCTCTCCGTTCCTCTCTTAAATCAATAAAAATATATTTAAAAAAAATAAAAAGAGCAAATACCTGAGCTGAATTTTTGTCAACATAAATATGAATAACTCCTCCATGTTTATTACATTCTTCAATCACATCATCCTTAATCTCTGTATCCCATCCAACTTCTTCTTCTCTGTAAGAAAGTATAAGCTTTATTAGACACTGTATAAACATTTTAAAATATGCATTCTTTTAAAAAATCGAAGCATTTTAAGGAGAGAATGAGCAACCAAGATAAATGCTGCTGAGAGGTCATTTAAGATGATGACTGAGGTGCTCCCTTCGGCAGCACATAGACTAAAAATTGGAACAATACAGAGATTAGCATGGCCCCTGCGCAAGGATGACATGCAAATTCGTGATGCGTTCCATATTTAAAAGAAAATAAAAATAAACATTTCTAAAAGTTATAAATTTTTAAGTCACTTAAATGATTTATTGACATTTTTCAAATGATTCTTATACCAACAGTTTATCACCATTTCATAGACAAAGCTAACAGAATACAAGACTCCAAGGCTCTTTCTACGGTAAACTCTGAACCAATATTAATGCAAACAGCATATTATAAATTATTAAAGTTGTATGAAACATAGTTACTCAATTATAGTGACTGATTTAAAAATTTACCGAACAAAAACAAGATGTGGACTAATAAATGGCATTCTAATTACTGGCTAGGAAGTAGAAAATATTTCTAATTAACAGCATGCACTAATCAAAGAAAATTAAAAAAAAACCAAACACACACAACTTTTCTGCTATTAGACTGAAATAAGCTTAAAATCTCAAAGCCCATAATTGGTATAAGCTGGTGACCAAAATAAATACTGACACAAACTTTAGTAAAGTTAGATATAAATGGGAAATATAAAATCTGCAAGCTTTCAATTCCAATCTTACAAACACATCCAAAGAAAATAACCAACAATGTGTATAATGTGCTAAAAGGATAAAAAGTGCTGCACTATTTGAACTATGAAATATATGGAAATATCCTAAGTGTTTGAACTTGACCAAAGTATATTACTTACGTTTGAGGGTTAAACATGTTAGAGAGTTGAAAACACTGTGTTGCAAGAGGTTGAACAGAGGCAGCTGCAGCTAAAGCTGAAGCTAAAAAAAAAAGAGAGAGCAATTAGTTCCATGGAAAATGCATCAAAATAAAACAAAAAACCCACTAAACCCAAAGTATGAAACTAGGTATAGTGTCAAGCCAGAAACTTAACTAATTTACCTTACTTTAATAAGGCTATCAAAGTATGTAACAGAACTCCATTTTAGTTGCCAGAAAACTGTGGCAGTATTTGACGTGGCCAATCTTGAAAAAGTTGGGAGTTTTATTTTCACAAGGGAAATTAAACTTTATATGTAATCCAACTTAAATTATACAAACAACAATACGAATCAATCCAGAAAAACAAAGGATTAAACTGAACATTGACTTTGTAAAACTGCTTGAGTTTATACCTGAGAAGCAGGGGGTAATAAGAATGTATCTTTTGGCCCAGCCAGGGTCAATCAGCAATTGAGCGTCAACCTCGGACCAAGAGGGTCACCCATTCGATTACTGACAGGGGCACATGCCTGGTTTGCGGGCTCAATCCCCAGTAGTGGGCAGCTGATTGAAGATATCTCTCTCTTATTAATGTTTCTATCTCTATCCCTCTTCCTCTCTCTCTGAAAATCCATAAAAACACTAAGAAATATGATCTTTAAAATTCCAAAATAAGGCCGTGGAAGGTAGCTCAGTCCCAATACGCCAAGATTGTGGGTTTGATCACCGTTCAGGGCAAAGAAGCAACCAAGGAATGCATAAATAAGTGGAACAACAAATGGATGTTTCTCTCCACCCCCCACACCTCTAACATGAATAAAGTGCCAAATAAATGTATGACCCTATTGTATTTCTTAGGATTCTATCCATGAATATATAGTCATATATTCCTAAAAAAAACCCACAAACATTATAAAAGGATTAAGTTTTAAAAATAAGAAGCATAAAAAACCACCCAAGCAGCTAAGACTTAATATCCTAGGACAGTGGTCGGCAAACTGCGGCCCCTTTAGTGTGGCTCTTCCACAAAATACCACGTGTGGATACACACATACAGTGTGATTGAAACTTCGTGGCCACACTCAAGGGGCCAAAGAGCCGCATGTGGCTCACGAGCCGCAGTTTGCCGATCACTGTCCTAGAATTATAAATTCTATTACAAAACGAGATTAATCTTTAAAAAATGATTATGCCTGCTTTTGCATAATAGACTAGCACGAAAAATAAAACTAAAATATTCACTATATTAAAAATAAAAAAATACTGAACACTGATATTTAAGCTCAGCATTTAAAACCCTATTGGTTTTAAGTATGAAGTGAGAGCACTGGCCAAGACAGCCGCTCCCTTGTCTACATGTGATTTATAAAACATTACCAGTAGCTGTTACACAACTCACCGTAATCATAACATTTGACCAAATTTCATTCCAATACATAACAATAAAGCTAAGGATAAAACAGTGCATTAGAAATTATAATTAAACATTCACCTGAGAAGTACCAGAAATATTCCACTGAATAAAAATTATGGTTGCACATGAAATACATCATAAATTTTTTTCTGATAGAATTAGGCTATATATTAAAGTAACTAACAGATGTCAAACTCTATTGGGGAAAGTTAAAGATGCAACCATGTTTATATTAGTTAAAAAATACAGCCTGCCCGGCTGGTGTCACTCAATTATTAAGTATCAACCCATGAACCAGGAGGTCACCGATCCACTCCCAGTCAGGGAACATGCTCGGGTTGTGGGCTTGATCGTACTAAGGGTCGTGCTGGAGGTGGCCAATCAATGATTCTTCTCTCATCATTGATGTTTCTATCTCTCTCTTCCCCTTTCTCTCTGAAATTAATAAAAATATTTGAAAAACCAAACAAAAAAAGATAGGTGAAAATATATCTTAAAAACAAAAAGCCTGCTGTGTACCCTCATCATAAATAAATGGAAGTATGCTTGGGAAGAAAAACTAGAAGGACATTACAAAATAATTGAGAACTTGTATTTTTCCATTTCCTCCAATTAATTACGACAATATACTATGAATACTGAAAAATATTTAGAAAATGTATAATAGAAATAGTCCAGCTCAACCTAGAAGAATGCAGAACACAATAAATTCAGCAGAGAAATATAGTTAATAGAAAAATCTAGTTCAACTTTTTAAAATCTGCTAGAAATAAAAGGATTGATATAGCTGCCTCATTTACTGAAAAAATTATACATTTAATTCCTATCAAAGAACATGGTAGATATTTCATATAGAATAATTTCCCTAAACAACTTTAAGTATAGCTTAAAAAAATGGGATACTGAATTTGCTCAGTATCAAATAGCTCTATAAAATGGCACATATTTACGTGGACATTAAAAACAAGAAAAAATAGCCCACTTTATAAATCATTTCAATCTCTGAAGTCTGCATGCAATTTTGTTCTGGATAATATTCTCATTGCTTGGTACTGCATATACAAATCACTGGAGTTAGAGCCAATTTTCCTAATCTTATATTAAGTTGACAAACTATGTTCTGAAAGATTTGTCTATTTAAATGACAAATTTCACTTTCTGACTTCTATGTAAAACTTACTAACAATCAGTACACAAAAATAAGCATAAGAGGCTTAAAATACTTCTGAGCAAGCTAAAGGTAAAAAAGCACAAACATTTTCATTTTTTATCCATGCAACTGTAATAGTTTTGTAATTGGGCCTTCCAAAACATACATTAGCAAATAGCTTACTGTGAGTGTAATGTAATACATGACTATCATTCTGACAAAACTGGATCCAAAATAAAATACAATAATAAATATAAAGAACTATGTCTTGCTACATTTACATTGATTTCAAAGACAAATAAAAAGCTCAACTCACCTTCAGTCTGTTGGGAAAGTCTTGTTTGCAAATCTATAACAAAAGAGAATTCTACAGCTCAGTGCAGGAACAATGAAGAGCCTCAACTAACAGGGTAAATGTCAGGAGAGCATTAATAAAAGAGGACTACTGTAGCAGGGTTTGTGAAAGTGAACTTATAGTAAAACCTGGCAGCCAAACCCCCTTCCCCATTCCTCATTGGCAAGGCTTTGGGGGCCTTCTCTCCTCCTGTCCTAGGAAACTTATGCCTCTTTTTTCTTATTCCTAGTAAGAACTCTTCCACATCTAAAATACTACATTCCACTACACTAGTCTGCACATGGGAATAATGGGAAATGGGGAAAGGGAAGCAAACCGGTAAGAAAATACATGAAAACCCTGATCTTGAGAATTCAATTCCAAGTACTTGGGATAGTCAACTATTTATTCTAACAGTGGGAATAATAAGCATTTTAAACTTTTAGAAAGAATAGTAATATCAAACAGCTGTAAACACTTTCACTAATCTACCAACTGAAGTAGTAAGAGCAGCACCAGTGGAAAATACACCATTTTAACTTTATACTTTTTAAAAGTGCTTTTAGGATTAAAAAGAGTCAAGTCCAGCCAAGGAGATGAATTTTTTTTAAAAAAATCTGGTTTTATGACCTAGTCTGGAAATTTATTGAGGCAGGAATGAAATCTCATTGGGTTTACCATAATTTATGAAATACAGAAAAATCTAAGCAACTAGTCAGCATTAAAAATAAAGAGAATGGGAATTTTTACCACTATATTTCCCATATAATTGTTAATACTTCTATACTAAAAGGCAAGTTAAGAGAAAGCTGCTAACCAGTAAAAATAGCAGCAGGTCTGAATAGTCAAGAAAATGCCAGTGTTGAAAAGCTATCTTTAAGTTCGAAGTTTCAGAAATATACAGTATAGAAATGGTTTAGGCTTTAATACCCAATTGTCATTAACATGAGATTCAACTGCAACACTTTTATTGCCATTTGGGTTCCTTGCTGAGTACATGAAAATGATCATAAAACATGGGCAAAAACTAACGGGATCCACAGCCCAAGTTATATTGGGATATAAGTATACCTGGGTCCTAGGTGCTCAAATTTGGCATCTCAAGGAGTTGAAGAAATATAACTGATGTATACTGAAGGAACTTGAAGATATGACCATAGGAACATTGTCAATAAACTTTAAATTATAACACAATGTCTTTTTTTTCCTAAAATGGGAAAAAATGTATAGATATCAGAAATCCATGCTACTTTTAAGTGTTAATAAATCCCTATAAAAACTTCAAAAATAAAAACTTTTTTAACATGACTTTCTGATCACAAGATTATGGCCAGAGGAATATGAAGTCACCAAAACTAATTTGGAGGTTGCCAAGAACTTATCTTAAAGTGTTTTCAAGTCTAACCAAGAACTCTGACACTTGGAAACAAATTAAGAAGATATGAATATTTAAAAGCATGTTTTCTTTTCATAAAAAAATTTCCAATTTCTTATGTCATTTGTTATGACAAGTTAGAAAATAAAGCATGGGTTTCATAAAGGTAAGAACCCTATCTTAGAATCTAAATTTCCAGAATATAAGCATGTGGAGCCTGGCCAGAGTGGCTCAGTTGGTTGAGCATGATCCCATGCACCAAAAGGTTGGCCCATTGATTACCAGTCAGGGCACATGCCTGGGTGGTGGGCTCACCCCCAGTAAGGGATGAAAGAAGGCAGCTGACTGAAAAATCTTTAATTAGGTAAAGATACTGTTTTTGAAGACTAAATCAATGTACAGTGGGGCCTTGACTTACGAGTTTAATTCGTTCCAAGACCAAGCTCGTTAACTCAAATTACTCTATCAACTCAATGCAAAAAATCGGCCAAGAGACAGCTGGTATCTCAAAAAACTCGTTAGTCGGGACACTCGTAAGTCAAGGCCCCACTGTATTTGATTTACCATCCAGAATAAACCTAAGATTGTTAAGATACCAATCATGTCACTGCATCAAATCCCCAAAGGTAGGGAACAAATCTCATTCACTAGCCTTTCGTGAGAATATATAGAATATGTTGAACAATCAGACATTTCCTAAATTATTGAAAGAATGACCTGAACAATGGGGAGCAATACAAGAATGGCCTTTAGAATAAGTAATTTTCAAACCATAGACTAGGAATTATTTACAGCAAATGATTTCTATAACTACTTGTTCACTGAAAATTATATGCCTAATGCTTATTTAAAATGTCAAAACAGCCCTAGCTGTTTTGGCTCAGTGGATAGAGCGTAGGCCTGCGGACTGAAGGGTCCCAGGTTTGATTCTGGCAAGGGCACATGCCTGGGTTGCAGGCTTGATCTCCAGTAATGGCGTGCAGGAGGAAGCCAATCAATGAATCTCTTTCATCACTGATGTTTCTATCTCCCTTTCCCTTCCTCTCTGAAATATATTTTTAAAAATATTTTTTTTTAAAAATCAAAATAAAGAGTAATTGTTGCGATTTTATCTTCTTGTAAGGTTACACTTGCATAGTTTTGTCAGAAATTTTAGAGAATAACTTAGATTTCAAAATAAATCACTCAATTTGATAGGAAGCACAGAAAATTAAAGGCAGGTTTCTAAAGGCACTGTCACAACTTTTGGATATCCATTAAAAAAGAAAACACTGCCCTGGCGATTGTGCTCAGTGGTTAGAGCATGTCACCTGTCTTTCCCAGGTCAAGGGAAAGTACCCGAGTTGCAGGTTCCATCCCTAGTCCCAGCTGAGGTGGGAGGCAACCAAGTGATGTCTCTCTCACATCAATCATCAATATTTCTCGTTGCTCTCTGGCTCCCTCCCGCCCTTCCACTCTCTCTAAAAATCATTGGGGCAAAAATATCCTTGGGGGAGAATTAACAACAAATAAAATTAAAGAAAAGTCTCCCTTCTAACTAATGAAAAGCAATATAAAAGTATTAATCAGCTAATGAACTTTCAATTTAGAAGAAAATCAATTATGAAGCAACCACATGAACTTTTTTGTAGATTCAGTTCCATCATCTCCTAATTTTTTATTTTTCAATTACAATTGACATCCAATATTATATTAATTTCAGGTGTACATATCTCATTTTTTATACATTGCAGCCTCACTTTATAGATATGGTAAAAGGACCAATTCATAATATTATGCCGGAAGCCAATTCCAGCATGACAGCAGACTGAATCATCTGGAGTGGCTGAAGGGCATTTCCCCAAACCTGAAAAGGCTGCATTAAATTGATTGCTTGCTGCCAGCCACCTCAGGGCATCTTAATCTACATGTTATTGCCTCCTACTGGCCAAACACCTTAACAGGAGTAGGCTAATTCTCCCCATTCTGACAATGGACTGTGTATAGGAAACCCTACCCTTTGAAGTGTGTATCTCCACCTCGCCTCAGGACAATTTGTGTTAATAAAAAGCATGGGGTCCTGAAATGAGGAGATAGATCTTAGTTTCTTTAGCTAGGCTCCTCTGACCCTCAATGCCTTTCAAAATTATGCTTCGTCTCTGGACTCTTTAAGTTACACACAGCCCCTTACTTCTCCAGATTGCTGAACCCTTCTTAATGCAGGAACAAGAACCCCGGCAATATAAATTACATACTTTCTTGGAATAAGTACTTCCTGTCATGCAAGGTTCACAATACAAATAGTTTCGATATGTACCAAAAAACCAGGTTGTCAACATTTCAAAATTAAACATTATGCTAGCTTGTAGATATGAGCTAATATCAAGGTAAAGACAAATCCACATAATTAAGTTAACCCATAAAAGAGAGGAAGACCATGTGTTTCATAAACCAAACTCCTCATTAGATAACTAGAGGCTCAGTGCACAAAATTCGTGCACTGGAGCACGCCTGTGTGTCCTGCAGCCCAGGAGCCCTTGGGAGATGTCCGACTGACAGCTTAGGCCTAAGCCTGCAGTCAGACATCCTTAGCGTTGCCGCGGAAGCGGGAGAAGCTCCACCACCACCGCCGCACTCAACAGCTGTGATCCTGGCTTCTGGCTGAGCAGCGCTCCCCCTGTGGGTGTGCACTGACCACCAGGGGGCAGCTCTTGCACTGAGCATCTGCCCCCTGGTGGTCAGTGCACATCATAGCAACTGGTCCTTCTGCTGTTCAGTCAATTTGCATACTAGCCTTTTATTATATAGGATTAGATAGAATTGTAATAAACTGCCAGTGCTCTCCTCCCTTCCTGTCCTCTCCAAGAACTTAATTCCCAAACTCAAAATCTCAAAATAATGTGTACTGTTTAGGAAAGAACTTTACTGGGCAATTTACTGAGCACTCTTGATATTGCAATCACTTCAGTAAAGCTTGATTTAGAGCCGTCTGGTATTTTTCTGAACTTAAATATTACAATGAAACAATTTGTGCTGTAAAGCAATATAAAGGTTTTGGTCTCTATGGCTTGTAGCAATTTAAACTAAAGTTGGCGTGAAGGATTCAATATAATATCCTGACAGCTTATTATGATTAGTAAATAATTCTGTCCTATATCTTCACTTTCTTTTAGGGACATTTGAAATTTATTGGCGATAAGTACTTGATGAATTGAATTCTCAGTAAGTCCTTTTAAATGCTAAAATTTGGCAAATTTTCGAATTAGGTGAAAAAACAATGATTGCAAATTAGAAAAGATTCAATTCCTACCTGCCACAGCACCAAATGCCAAGGAGCCACTCATTTGTAGAGCTTGCTGTGCTGCTGGTGGGATCTGCAAACCTGTACCTGGAAAAGAATAGGTCTTAAAGTCCTTAATGTGTTAAGAGCAGAAAAGTCCAGATTTCTGAGTGTTTAATACCAAAGTCACTCCAATAGTAAACATGACAAGCAGCATATAGTGTAAAAGATACAATTAAGTTTATTGTGAATCTTGAGAATGTTATTTTTATAGAAAGCACAAAGAATCCTGTAGCATACAATGTGGTACTCAAAAATGCACCACCATAAAGTAGATTCCATTAGAACTATAAGGTGAGGAACTTAATCTATGAAATTACATACATGTGCTGCCCACGGAGAACATCAATTCCAAAATAAATCACTTTCCATTTATTAGTCTAAATAACTTTCTCATTATCATAGTCATACTAAATCATTAACACTAAAAAAAAACTTACCCTCTGCAAGTCTTGCCATTAATTGAAGACGACCAGTTGTTCCCAAATCAATTCCAGTCCTTTCCAGTTCATCACTGTCCAAAAAGGAGCTAGCGCTGGAAGCATCAGTTCGTTCAGTAACATGACCAACTTTCATTGGCCTTCCTGCTAGCTCAAATCCATTAAGCTGTTCCAAAGCCTTCTTGGCACATTCTGAATCGGAAAACTAATCGAGAGAGAGGTAAAAAAAAAAAAGTCCAGTAGATTAGTTTGCATAGGTAAGGAAATGCTTGCTTATTAAGTTTACTAGAGTACCGGTGCACGAAATTGGTGCACTGGGGTGTGTGTGTGTGTGTGTGTGTGTGTGTCCCCTCAGCCTGGCCTGCATGCACCCTCTTGCAGTCCGGAAGCTCTCTGGGGATGTCTGATTGCCACAGAGGTGAGAGAGGTTCCCACCACTGCCTCTGTGCTCACCAGTCTTGGCTCAGGGCTTCTGGCTGAGCAGCGCTCCCTCTGTGGGAGCACACTGATCAACAGGAGGCAGCTCCTACGTTGAGTGTCTGCCCCTGGTGGTCAGTGCACATCATGGCGACTGGTCATTCCATCGTTCGGTCAATTTGCATATTAGCCTTTTATTATATAGGATATTATGTAGGATTATATTCAATAATTATAATTGGGCGGATGATGAAGTAATTTCAAACTATAATATCACGAACATAATCAAACCGTATTACTGACATAATTTAAAATGACAAGATAGGGCCCTGCTGGTGTGGCACAATGATTGAGCATCAACCTATGACCCAAGACGTCACGATTCGATTCCTGGTCAGAGCACATGCCAGGGTTGGAAGCTTGATCCCCAGTGGGGGATGCGATTGGAGGCAGCTGATCAATGGGTCTTTTTCATCAATAATGTTTCTATCTCCCCTTTCCCTTCTTTGAAATCAATAAAAATATATTAAAAAATAAAGAGTGAAAGGCTCCTAAAAGGAAGCTTAAAAAAATAAAATGACAAGATAGGGATTCCCTCTCAAAAGCATGCCAGCACCATTCCCATCCCCCCTCCTCTATACCCCTTGTTTCCCCTAAACTTGCATCCAACTTGTTTCCTGAGCCCATTTCTTCCATGACACATCAATTGGTGCCTCTGGAACCCCCACCCCAGAATCGATCCCAGGACCCTTTTAGTCCATGGGTGGATGCTCCAAATATTGAGCCAAATCAGTTAGGGCCAGATATTATTTTTAATACAAAACTCTAGGTCAACTTTTCTTGCCAATGAAATCATGAATATTCTTAATTCCAGGCTGCAAACGCAGAAAAACTCTAATCCATAACCTCTGGTTTTAATTTAATGGGAGAAAGGAACATATTCCCATGAATCCTGTACTTTAATCTTTCTTTTTTTTAATATATTTGATTGATTTTTTACAGAGAGGAAGGGAGAGGGATAGAGAGTTAAAAACATCGATGAGAGAGAAGCATCGATCAGCTGCCTCCTGCACACCTCCTACTGGGGATGTGCCTGCAACCAAGGTACATGCCCTTGACCGGAATCGAACCTGGGACCCTTCAGTCCCCTGGCCGACGCTCTATTCAGTGAGCCAAACCGGCTAGGGCTGTACTTTAATCTTTCATCAGAATGTTTATTGTTTAAAATAATTTCTGGCCCTGGCCAGGTAACTCAGTTGGTTAGAGTGTCCTTCTCATATGTCAAGGTTTTGGGTTCAATTTCTGGTCAGGGCACATAAAAGAAGCAATCAGTTAATCATAAATAAGCATAAGTGAGT